CTTTTTCTGTACATTTCATATGTTTTTTTTTACTGTACTTGAATGATTCCTTTACACTGTAAGTATAACAATTGACAAAACTCTGATGACCAAAAGTTGTTTGACAGAGTCTCTCTCTCTCTCATACACATTTTTCTTTTGCATATCATCCTCCAAGTACCCTCTAGTTCTTGCGGTTTTCCATTGAATTTGGAAAACTTGCAGCATTCTGGATAGCAGTGGGTTCTTAGACTACAATCTGGAGTGTAGGTTATTATTATTATAAAAAAATAAACATCTGAATTTAAAAACCATTGTGTTGAAGCTATTCATACCTTTTGGTAGTGGTAACAAGCAATAAGTTGAAGTTCACGAGCTACAAGTCTATAAACTTGCAGTTATTTGTTAAAACCACTTGCTGTTTTAACGAGAGAAGTGGCAGAAGAAACTGGAATCATGTCATCCCCATTCGAGACCACGTACCTATCAAGCTTTCTTACCCGATACAGCTCCAGCGGACTTGTGTGTCTTTGCTCTGTTTAAATGATATCTTGGAAGACAATGTCCATGTGCAGTGGAAGGACTTTGGAAAGTTTGCAAGATGTGTGATTTAAAACTGATTTATCCTTCCTTCTGTTACCATGGGGGTTGTGGTGTTGAGCTTAATAGTTATAATAGGTTCTGGAAATAATCTGGAGAATACAACAGAGGAAATACAAGTGAACAAATAAAAAAAACTTTGTTCACAGATAAGAGTATGTACGCTGGGGTGTTTATCTATATACTGGCTTTGTGTTCATTATAATGAGCTCTTACTACTGCTGGAATTGGAGGAAGCATGTCTGCACCAGACGAATAATTATAATACTACACTGTTAGGTAAGACCCAAATCCTAATATCCCACAATTCCTTATGTTATCCCTATCAGTGATAGTTCCCATTATACTTATTCAAGGAAGATAAAAATCAAATGAATACGACAGGAGGGTACAACACAGAAACAGGGTCAAGCAAGTATGAGCACCATTAAACAATCATTGTGTAACTAACAAACCTTTATGATCATTTTATGCATCTAGTTTACAAAAATGTCGCTAACTACATGCAGAACACGTGCACAAAATTTACTTTAGTATACACAGTGTGGTCACAAGTAAATAGAAACCACCTTTTCAGAAAAAATGAAATTTTTCAGTCATATTCAC